AGTTCCTTGTTTTTTAATGCAGCATAGTATTCCATTGTGCGAATATACCACAGCTTCTCTATCCATTCATTTGTTGATGGGCACTTAGATTGTTTCCAACTCCTTGCTATTGTGAACAAAGCCGAGATAAACAGGGGTGTGCATCATCCTTCATCTGTTTCAATGCAGTATACATCATTCCTCCCCTTCTTTTCTGTCTTCCCTCAACCCTGATGTCAGTCCCGTTTTACAATAGCCGTTTGCAATATTTGTACTTTTTGTGACTGAGATATTTCACTCAGGATAATATCCTCCAGGGTCATCCATTTTGCATAATATTTCATGAAGTCCTTGTTTTTTCAATGCTGCATAGTATTCCATTGTGTGAATATACCAGAGCTTCTCTATCCATTCGTTTGTTGATGGGCACTTGAGTTGCTTCCAGCTTCTTGCAATTGCAAACAAAGCTACAATCAACATGGGTGTGCACTAACGTGTAGTTGGTTTTTTAAAGATTGCTTGTATTTTAGGGTCGGGAATTAGTGGGACCAAGAACTCACCAAACCAAAGTGTCACATATCAAATTTTAAAAACCATAAATTAGTGACTCTGGATTCCTGATCACTGGCTCACTGGTAGGCTTTGGGATCAGACTGTTGAGCTCTATGATTATTAATCTCTTGGTCCTCCATAGATGTGGAAAGCAAATCAGCTATCTGAAGTTAGAAAGCTTTGTTACAAGTTGCTCAGTGAAAAAACAGATTGTTTAATGATAGAAACCGATTCTGAACTGTTGAGCTAGGTGCTTTTCTTCTGATGTTACACTGATGAGGTTTAATGGTAACATTTCAAATCTTGACAGAAAAAACTTGAGTCGTCTCCATCCCCATCCACCAATCCCTTCCTGGAAGATGAACCATCCGCAGAGATGGAGGAACTGGCCATGGAGAAGGGAGATTTAGACCAAGTAAGTCTGGTTTGCATTACTGTGTGTACCCTACCTCATGTTTGTTTCAGAAAGTGAATCCTCTTTCTCTGCATATTATCCTTTGGAAATTGACAACATTCAGAGATGACAACCTTGGTGGTCTTTGCAGAATAACATTTTTCCCTGAAAGTGCATTTAGAAATGGAGCTGCGCTCTCTGCCTTACCTCTGCTCCTGAAGAGCCTGTACTTCGGGTTTAGTAACGTGCACAAGCTTAATGAGCCCAGCCAGTGGGGCCCGCAGAATGCTGCTCTGCCTCGTTCATCATCTCCTGAACTTGTCAGCGTGGCTTTCAGTCACCCTCTCATCTGGGATGGTGATGATGGCACGGGGGAAGGCTCCCCAGTGAAGTTAGCAGCACCGCGCGCTCACGAGAGGCCTCTGCTCTGTTGTAAGCTGATCACTTTGGGTCTGGAAACCATTGGGCAGGCCTGGAAAGATCCAGGTGACCAGTGGCACATTTGGAGAGTTCCTTTTAAGAGCTTGCTAGCACTTTCATTTCCTTCTGACTTTTCCGTCCAAGTCTAAATTTCCTCTCTCCTTACCCTACAGAATGGGGTTTTTGTTTCACTGCCATTTCATGACGACAGAGCTTAGAGCAATAAATCAGAACTTTCCCTTTCTGGATTAGTGATCCTTCTTTTTAATTTTCCACACTTGGAGGCTGGAGGATTGTTGCATGGTATTGTTTTGTCCCAGACACAGCTGAGGAGAGACTGACTGGGAAGACAGCCCTGAGGACCCCACATCCACATGCTTCTGCTTGCCCTGTGCTCCCAGCCCAGCCGGTGGGTGTGCCATCCGGGCAGAGCTCTGAGGGCAGAGTGTCCAGGAGCAGTTATGAAAGTGATGTGGAAAAATATGTCTGCTCCACAGAGGAAATAATTGTAATGATGTGGATAACTCACATTTTTTTATGGTGCTTGTAACTTTCAAAATGTCTTACATGCCTCATTTTGTTTTCACACTGTCTAACTCTCATTTTATAAGTGAAAAAACTTCATCTCAGAAAGTTTAAGTGATTTGCCTAGGGTCACACAGCTTGTAAAGAAAGGAACTGTAAGTTAGGTATACAAGTCAGAGACTAGAATCCCTTTCTCATTTTTATTATTATTATTATTATTATTACTACTGCTACTACTACTACTGCTTTTGATGACTCACAAAAGAGTGAAGGAGATAAATAGGAATAAAACTGTGAATAAAACTGAATGAGCTAAATTGAAGGTCTATCTTGAGGCCGTATCCTGGAGACCTAAAGGATTACACATAATTGATTTAAAGCTGTCATACTGTTGGATAGCTCAGAGAAGACAGAAGATTGGGATGGAGGAAAACAAGTGTGGACATAGCCTACGTTCAGTCCTCTGATCCATCTTCCACCCACAGAACCACCTTACCCTCTGAATGTGCTTTGCTTGACTGTCACGGTCATGTCTAGGTTTGTGTAGTGAACACTCAGATGCATATGTTTAGTGCACACTCCTCCTCCCCCACACCTTTTTGGTAGTTATCCTTGGGTATTATGATCTTAAACTGGATTCTGATAGGGAATTCCTATTTACCTGGAGGGGTGGGTAGTGTGACCTGATAAAGCAGGCCTTTCTTCTCTCATGGAACTTTTCTCCATGAGAAGCTTGAGCACACTGTTGTAAGGCTGGAGACCACTCATTCTCAGTAAACAGAACACTGCCATCTTCCAGATTCACGGAGTCCTGCAGTGGGGAAATGCCAGGCTCTGGTCTGCCAGCCCCGACTGAGTCACCTCGGAGGGGTTATTTCCTCTCTAGGCCCCCCTCATTTCTTCATCTATAAAGACGGATGAATCGTTTTTGAACGTATTCCTTGGTGTCACAGCAGATATCACTGTGTAAGTTGGGAGCCCATGGGCCTGGGTCCCTTCAAACAAAGCTGCTCCATTTTTAGAACTTTGTGTAGTAGACAAGGAGCCCTGGTGGCACAGTGGTTACACACTCAGTTGCTAACCGCAACGTTGGCTGTTCAAACCTACCAGCTGCTCCATGGGAGAAAGATGTGGCCATCTACTTTAAAGACGTACAGCCTGGGAAAAACCCTCTGGGCAGTCAGGTGTCTGTCCTGTAGGCTCGCTGAGCATTGGAATAGACATCACAGCAATAGGGGAAGGGGTATTAAGAATTGTTAGGTAAAATGTATTTTGAACCAGTGGTTTCAGATTTTTTTTTTTTTAAATTACTAAACCATCTCAGACTGTTACTCATAACTAATAAAATGTAGACACTGGTGATTAATTCCTCCTCACATGCTGTTCCCGGCCTCCTGAGGCCTCCTCAGCACTTGTCTTGCTTGTGGGTGATTAGGTGGCAGCCTCAGTACCTCCCTCCAGTCCATAGCTCAGTGGCTTCTGGAGTCGAGAGCAGGAGCCCTGAGGTGTTCTGGGGAGGGAATCTTCAGGATGCACAGCCATATGTGTTCAAGACAGTGGTCACCCAGCCACCCATAGTCCACAATCCACGCACAGTTGACTGTCAAGGTCAAATTTGCTCCCTACTGTGGTTTCAGGCTGGTTAGTGAGAAAAGAGTGTGAGCCTGAGCCTGAAACGAGGTATTTGGTTGGTGAGAGGGCTTGAACGGTTTCCAAGGCATTTCCAGTGATGACAAATGGCATCTGAAAGGGGAATGAGGGTGTTCAAAGTAGAAAAGAAAGACGGGGCAGAAATAAGGAATTTCTGGTTTAAAAATGTACCCTTCTGGTGATCCGAGCAGTTAGATTTAATCTGTTTACATTGGATAGTAATAAAAGGAAATGGGGCCAGCTGCAGACCTCCTTACTGTGACAACAGTAACCTTTTATTATTCCATCAAACTCCAGGAGGAAATAGCTTCAACAGCTGCAGCTTTTGGACAGAACTCACACACTCAGAAATCCAGCCCGAATGCTACTGCTAAAGGACTTAGTATACTCTTTAAGCTGAGAATCAACACTTTGGGGAGCCAGACTGTGCAGACAGAGCCATCAGTTTGAGTTGCAGTCCCAGCACCTATTATCTAAACACGAGCACATTCATAAAACAGCTTTAGGCAGCAAACAACCCCTGTGAGGGGAAAAAAATAAGAAAAAAAGGAAACATTGGGAAATCCCTCCCATTCTATCCCTCTTGTTTCCAGCTTGCACTAAAAGTGCTACAAGAGACTCCAGGAATTGTGAGGACAAGACTCAGAGGTCTCTCTTTACTGCTGGAAAGAGGCTGGCCTAAATGGCGTCACTCTCTGAATGCCTGAATGTTCCAGGAGGCCTCATCTCAGGAGATGTGATCTGAAAGGGATCAAGATGGGTTGTTGAATATCACGTACTCACTTTTTGAATCACTTAGAAATTTTATTTTATATTTACTAGATGAGCTCTTCATTACCGATCACTTTTATATGTATATAAAAAGGAAAACATAAGCCAGGTAACTAAGTTAAGATACTCATAATCCTGCCCATTCAGATTCCAACTCTTTCTTCTACACCAGTTTTCTGTAACTTAACATTTTGAAGCAATTATGGACTCATGAGAAGTTAAAAAAATAGTGCAGAGAGGTCTGCGTGCCCATCTCCTAGCTTCCCCCGGCAGGGACATTAATAACTATAGTACATCATCAAAACCAGGAAATTGATTCACTCTGCTATTTTTGCTCAAGTTAGAGAGATCTGTTTTCCCACACAGGAGCATCCTCTGTGCGTAGATACTGAGTAGGCAGTGTTTTTTAGGAGGGCTCACCTGCTGTGTCTAGGGTTCCCTGTCAGGCCGTAACCACCCATTTCCTGAGTGTTTTCTATGTCTTTATTATTTTTTTTTTTTAGTGCTTTAAAACTTAAAGAAAGCTTTTAATAATATTGTAAAGAACTCCCAAATACCTTTCACCTGGATTCACCATTTGTTAACGTTTTGCTGTATTTACATTTAATTTACTATTCCCTCCACACTCCTTTTCTTTCCCTCTCTCAGAACAATTTGTACATTGTAGGCAACATGGATCATTCCTTAATATTTTAGGACATTTTTCCAGAGATGTGCATTCACTTATATTTCTCAAAATCAGGGAAGTTATCACTGATACAATTGTTGTTGTTGTTGTTATGTGCCGTCGAGTCGCCTGTGACTCATAACGACCCTATGTACAACAGCCCTAAACTCCGCTCTGTCCTGTGCCAATCGCACGGTCTCTGACACTCCCATCCCAATTATCCCAGTCACTGAATCAATCCACCTCATAGAGGGCCTTCCTCTCCTGCGCCGTCCCTCCACCCTCCCAAGCATGATGTCCCTCTCCAAGGACCGGTCTCTCCTCACTACATGTCTGAAGTAAGTTAGACGGAGCCTCAGAATCCTTGCCTCCAAGGAGCCACCCGGTTTAACCCTCTCTAGGACAAATCTATTTGTTTTCCTAGCAGTCCATGGTATTCTCAGTACTCTTCTCCAGCACCACAGCTCAAAGGCATCAGTTCTCCTTCTATCCTCCTTGGTCATTGTCTAACTCTCTGATGCATAACAGGTGATTGCGAAGACCATGGCCTGTATCAGACGCACCTTAGTCTCCAGAGAGACACCACTGCTCTTCAGTACTTTGGAGAGGTCCCTAACAGCAGACTTTCCCATGGCAATGCGCCTTTTAATTTCCTGGCTGCTGGTGCCAAGACTGTTGACTATGGAGCCAAGCAAACTAAAGCTGTGTACAATCTCAATCTCTTCACCATCCATCCTAATGCTGCCAATTGGTCCAGTGGTGAGAATCTTTGTCTTCTTGACATTGAGCCTCAATCCATATTGCAGGCTGCAGTCCTTGACACTCTGCAGCAGGTGCTTCAGGTCCTCTTCAGTTTCAGCAAACAGGGTTGTGTCATCCGCATAACGCAGATTGTTGTTAAATCGTCCACCAATCCTGACCCCACATTTCTCCTCATAGAGCCCCGCCTCCCGGATAATCTGTTCTGCATATAGGTTGAAGAGGTATGGAGATAGGATGCATCCCTGGCGTACGCCCTTCCCAATTTTGAACCATGCAGTGTTCCCTTGCTCTGTTCTGACGACTGCCTCCTGGTCCAAGTATAAGTTTCGCATTAGAACGATCAAGTGTTCTGGGTTTCCCATTCTTCTCAGAGTCAGCCACAGTTTGTTATGATCTACACAGTCAAATGCCTTTGCATAGTCAAGGAAACACAGATAGACATTCCTCTGGTATTCCCTGCTTTCAGCCAAGATCCAGCTAACATCAGCTACAATATCTCTAATCTACAAACTTATTTAAATTCCATCATATAACCATTGTAAATCAATAAAACATAGTCAAGAGTTAGAAAAGTCCATTAATTAGTGTTAAAGTAAAATCCAGTATAAAATACACATGTTAATTTAAGATATCACCATATTTTTATAAACTTCCATTTTTAGTTATTAAAATTTATCCTGAGAAGTGTGAATATCTTCTTTCTTCAAAGGGTCAGAATTTTGTTTATAGAGAATATATGGAATACTTATGAATATTTTTAAATAATGTTTATCATTTTAATCACTAGCTAGAACAATGTCTGGATTCAGTGACCATATTTTCCAAATCTGAAATCAATATATTTAGACTTAGCTGTTGTTGTTATGTGCCGTTGAGTTGAGTACCACTCATAGCAACCCTGTGGACCACAGATCAGAACCCTGTCCTATCGTGCGCCATCCTCCTCATCTCTGACATACCTAAGCCTGATGATGAAATCACTGTGTTAGTCCATCCACACCTGGCTTTTCATTTAACAGATCAAGTCATTGCAGAGAATGGAATAGCAAGAAACAGATTTTAATTTCTAAAATCTAGGGTAAATGGGTTGCCAAACTATTGAGGATGCACATCGTATACTCTGTTGTGGACCCACTGTGTTAAAATGAATGGAAGGCCTCAAACTCTCCCATGGGCTCTGTGACTAAGCGTAGTGAGCTAGTCTTGGGTACCTCTGAGGCTCTCTGTAGCCTCAGTGGGAAGATTGACTCCAATGATAGCTAATGTGTGGTTAGAGAAAACACATACTCAGATTGTATTTTAGGAAAAACTGGATGGTATATGCCTAAGGTTGACTTTGAGGTTTTGATGATCACCAGGTTTTGCAGATGCTTTTAACCAAATTTTATTCTTTAAAATAATGATCAAGAGAAAAGGTAATTTTTACTTCTGCCTGTCTTTGGGGAGGTGGACTGTCTTAGATTTTGCTGGATTTCTTAAAAGATATGAGTGGCTTATTTAAAAAAGTGAGTCTGAGTGCTAGTTTATACCACCTTGTACTCTGCCATCAGCTCTGCAGGTTCAGGTTCCTGTCACCGACATTTGATGACAAACAGAATTGAGATTCTTAGGGGGGTGGTGTTGTGTACCAGCGAGTTAGAACTGACCCATATCTCACTCTCCAGTGGGTTTGCAGAGCCAGTTTAATCACATGGGAGGAGATTGCTCATCTTTCTCCCTTGGAGCAGCTGGTGGATTTGAACCACATGTCTTTGGAGTTATAGCGCAGCTTCTTACCACTAAATATGTAGGAAGATTCTTATTTATTTGTTTGTTTATATATTTAAAAAGGAATTAGTGCATTTATCTAGCAAAACACTTAGTTTCTATATTGTGCCATCAAGTTGAAACTGACTCATGGCTGACCCTCCATTAGGTTTTCAGAGGCTGTAAATCACACGGGAGAAGGTTGCCCATCTTTTTCTTGTGGAGCGCCCGGTGGATTCAAACTATTGGCCTTTGAGTTCACCTTACCCACTAGGCCACCAGAGCGACCTCATGCTGTAAATCATTGGTTTCCATGTATCAGCCTACAGGGAAAATGCAAAAAAATATTGTACATCTGCCTATCAATATGTATATACTTGGTATAAGGTTGCAACTGCCCTTTCTTAATAAGGGCTGCCATTATTCTGTCACTCTATCCTTATAAAGTGTGTTTGTGTGTGTATATCTGTGTGACTGAACTAGTGATAAGAATGTTTTTCTCTACTATTGAGTTGAAACCTATCCACCCATAGCTGACTCTCTAGTGGATTTTAGGAGGCAGTAAATCACACAGGAGAAGATTGCCCGTCTTTCTCTCATGGAGCATCTGACATATTCAAACCATGTACAGGTTGGCAGCACAGTTTCTTACCACTAGGCCACCGGTGTGATTAGAATAGAAAGTAACAAAATTAAAAACTGGCAACCCTTTGTTGCTTCATTCCACTTTTTCTTACATCTACTTGTCAGTGAAATCCAAAGGTCTAGCAGCCACTACAAAGCAATATTATAACAGAAAAAAAATTCTAGTTTAGGAGCTAGAAAACCAAGCATGATGTTAACACCCTCCAATCTCCCATTTCTTTAGGTATTAAATAGCAGTAGTTATAATCCACCACTGTTGTGAGGACAGTGTTGTTGTTCTCACAGTATCAGACTCATGGCAGTAAGTGGCGACTGTCACAATTAGAGTATGTGATATCACATTAGAAATTATGGGGGGAGTGAAACCCACATACTGAGAAACTCACTGCCATCTGGTTGTTTTCAACCCATGGTGAACCTGCATTGAGTTTCCAAGGCTGTAAATCTTGATGGCAGGAGACTGCCTGTCTTCCTCTCCAGGAGCAAATGGTGAATTTAAACTGCCCAAGACTCGCAGCCTTTCAGTTGGCAGTGCGCCAGCTATGGACTACCCCACGACACCAAAGCTCTTTGAGAGATTTTAAAGGGACGTGCAAATACAAGGTGCTATTATTAGCTGTAATTCAGATTTTTAAAACATCAATCAGATGATAAATTGAAATGCATGTATTATGTAAATAGCAGTAAACTTCATCGTACCAAACGTGTCAGCGATGCTAACAAGACTGAACCCTTATTCAGAGTCTAGGTCATCGTCCTACAGGGCATTCCTAATTTGATTTTGAGTATTCTCTTATCTGTACATGTCTCGTGAACTTTGAAGGAATGTTTTCTTTGAAAATTTGCAGATGTTGCTCAAGTATAGGGTTTCTTTCTTTCTTTACAGCCCAAGAAGCCTAAAGCCCCAGACAATCCATTTCATGGCATTGTTTCCAAGTGTTTTGAGCCTCATCTCTACGTGTACATTGAATCCCAGGACAAGTGAGTGATAAACATTTTTCTGTTTTCAACCTACTTGCATTTTTCCCTCCTGGTCATGGTTGGCTCTCATGAGAGTATAATGCTCCCACTGGCTGAGGTAGGGACTTGGCATACCTGTGGCCCTCCCCAGAAAACTGCTAAAGATGTTTTTATATGTTAGAGGTTCCCACACCTTCCTCCCAGGATGTTGTATGGATGGTTGTATTATGAGTATATTGTCAAGCCATATGACTTTACAATGTCAATTATTAGTTAAGAAAGGAAAAAAGAAAGCTTAGTCTCTATATGTTTTCAAGAATAATTTTTATTTCCTTTTTAAATCACTTAAATTACAAAACAGTTGCAAAAGTTGTTGTTGTTGATTGCCTTCAAGTCGAGCACGACTCATAGTGACTCTATGAACAAAAGGCCTGAAGCCCCTCTACAACTATCGACATTTATCAAAGTTCATAGAGTTTCCGGACACAAATTATTTAGGAAGTGAATGCCACTTCTGCTTCCAAATCTGTCATAGAATGTTATGGGTTGAGTCTCCTGTGATGCATAGTGACCCTACGTACTGCAGCTCTGAACCCTTCCCTGTCCTGAGCCAGTCTCAGTAAGTCTGACACACCAACCCTCATTGCCCCAGTTACTGTATCCATCCATTTCATCCGGGGTCTCCCTCTCCTGCGCTGTCTGTCTGCCCTTCCAAGCCCATCTGCCCTCTCCAAGGACCGATCTCTCCTGGCCACATTGCCCAAAGTAAGTGAGGTGGAGCTTCAAAATCCTAGCCTCCAAGGAGAGACTTGGTTTCAGCCTCTCCAAGACAGACAGATTTGTTTTCTTGGCTGTCCATAGTATATTCAAGACTCTTCTCCAGCATCACAGCATCTGTTTCTTTCATCCTTAGTCCAACTTTCTGAAGCATAACAAATAATTGAGAAAACTATGGCCTGGATTAGGTACACATTAATATCTAGACTGACATTGTTGCTCTTCAGCACTCTGGAGAGGTCCATGACAGCAGATTTTTCCCAATGCAGTTTGCCTTTTGACTTCCTGTCTGCTGGTCTTAAGAGTGTTGATTGTGGATCTGAGCAAGCTGTAACTGCTGACAACCTCAATCTTTTCTCCATCTATTATCATGCTGCCAATTGGCCCAGTGCTGAGAATCTTTGTCTTCTTGTTGAGCTTCAATCCATATTGAAGACTACAGTCCTTGACCTTTTACAGCAACTACTTCAGGTCTTCTTCAGTTTCAGCAAGCAAGGTTGTGTCATCTGCATATGGTAGGTTGTTAATGAGTCTCCCTTCAGTCTTGGTGCCACACTCTGCCTCATAAAGCCCTACTTCCCAAATGATCTGTTCTACATATAGATTGAAAAGGTACGGGGACAGGATGCATCCCTGATGCACTCTTTTTTTATTATGAGCCATGCAGTGTTTCCTTGCTCTGTTCTGAGGACTGCTTCTTGGTCCAAGTATAGGTTTCGAGGAAGTATAATCAAGTGTTCTGGGATTCCCATTTTCCTCAAGCTTAGCTACAATTTATTGCGATTCACACAGTCAAATGCCTTTGCATCGTCCGTGAAACACAGAAAGACATTCTTCTGGTACTTTCTGCTTTCTGCCGAGATCCATCTGACATTGACAGTAATGTCCCTAGGGCCATGACCTCTTCTAAACCCAGCCTGTATTTCTGGTAGTTCCCTGTCAATGTACTGTTAAGTCTTTCCTGGATAATCTTCAGCAGGATTTTGCTAGTGTGTGATATTAGTGATATTGTACAATAATTTCCACACTCTGTCGGGTCACCTTTTTTTAGAATGGGAATAAATATGAATCTGTTCCAATCAATTGGCCAAGTAATTGTCCTCCATATTTCTTGGCACAACTTGGTGGGCAGATGCAGGGCAATATCTGTTTGTTTGTTTGTTTGTTGTTTTTCATCATTTCCTGGGGCTTTATTTTTTTGCCAAGTCCTTCAGAGCAGCCTCGACTTCCTCCTTTATCACCATTGCCTCTTGCTCATGTCGTTTATTGAAATTCTTCTGTGTCAGCCAATTCTTTTTGGTACAGTGACTCTGTATCTTCCTTCCATCTGCTTTTAGTGCTTATTAAATCATTCAATATTCTACCCATAGCGTCCTTAAGCATTGCTTGAATTTATTCTTTAGTTCTTTCAGCTTAAGAAATGCTGAGTGAATTCAGCTCTTTTGGTTTTCTGGCTCCAGCTCCTTGCACATTTCATTATAATATTTTGCCTTGTCTTCCCTAGCAGCCCTTTGAAATCTTCTATGCAGCTCCTTAACTTCTTGATTTCTTCCCTTTGCTTTGGCTTCTCAGCACTCTAGTGCATTATTCAGGGTCTCTTTTGACATCCGTTTTGGTCTTCTTCCTTCTTAGTAATGACTTTTTGCATTCTTCATGAACAATATTCTTAATATCTTCCCACAGCTTATCTGGGTTTCGGTCATTAGTGTTCAAGGCCTCAAACTCATGGGAGATAGACTAAAGGTCAACTTTTTATTCTTGTGGATATGGTTTAACCTTCTTTAGTTTTAATTTGAACTTGCATATGAGAAGTTGATGGTCTGTTCCACAATCGGTCCCTGGCCTAGTTTTTACTACTGATATTGAACTTCTCCAATGGTTCCTTCCACAGATGTAATCAATCTGATTCCTGTGCATTCCATCTTGCATACCCTTTCACAAGAAAATGCTGACATCTCATATAACTGTTGTTGTTAACTGCCATCAAGTCAAGTATGACTCATAGTGACCTTGTGAACAAGAAATCTAAACCAGGTCCTCCCCTGTGCCCTTCTTATCTCTGAAATACTTGTTCCCACTCCAGCAGCCTCTCTGTCAGTCCATCTTGTTGAGGGTCTTCCTCATCATCGCCAATTCCAAGCATGATGTCCTTTTCCAAGGAAAAGCCTCTACTTAATCAAAATCGAAAAGGCACTACTGTCCCATTAATGACTTTTTCTGGTCCAGGACCCAAACATACAGCTAGTTGTTGTGTCTCTTTTAATTTTGGATAATTCTTTAATCTTTTCTTTGTCTCTCACCACTTTGATAATTTTAATTCTTTTTTTAAAATTTTTAATAAATAGTTCTTAGGATGAAGGTTTACAGAGAAAATTTGTTTTCAGCCATTTGTACACGTTTGTTTCATGACTGTTGGTTGCAGTCCCCTCAGGTTGGAAGCACTCATCCCGTGTCTAAGTGCTCGTTAAAGGCAAGGGTGGTGAAACTTGGTCTCACATACCCTGGGCCTGTTTTCAGGAGGAAACTGTCTTTGGAGAGAGACTTCATGCTGGGAAAGCTAGAGTGTTAACAAAAGAGAGAAAGGATGATGGATTGACAGCAAGATTGATTGCCAGAGTGACTAGAGAGTGGGTGTGAGCATGAGGAAGATTGGGAGAAGGATGCAGGACAGGGCAACGTCCAGATCTGTTGTTTATAGGATTGCTGTGAGTCATAGTTGACACCTAACAACAAGAGCACATCCCATTTCCTCCCTGGGTTCCCCAAACCGCTCCTTCCTCCTTTCCTATCCCTTCCAGCCTTCCAAGCTTCACTTTTGACAACTGCTGCTTTTTTGGTCTCTTATGTTTGATTGTACTGAGACATGGAATCCTCCCAGGTGCTGTTGTTTACATTATAAACCTGTTTCTAGTTTGGCTGAAAGTTGATCCTTAGTTCCAGGTTTGGAAAGTGTCTAAGGGCCATAGGATCTTGACTCTTTTAAAAACCAGTTATTAAAAAAAAAAAAAATAAAAACCAGTTATTTTGTACAGTGCCCTCAGTTAGATTTGTCTGATGTTTCTTGGTGATGAAGTTTAGTCTAGGCACTTCTAGGGATGACAGATCTCCTAGAACTTAAGTGTGTCCTCAGTGCAACATATCAGGAAGCGCATCATGTTGATTTGCCCATTGCTGGTAACATTCACTTGGATCATTCGCTGAAAGTAACGTTGACCAGATTTCTCCTCCATAACGTTCCTATTTTTCTCTTTGTAATGATGATGGTCTCATGAAAGGGTACTTTGAGACTATGAAAATATTCTCTTCCTCATCACATTTTTGCCTATACATTTGAGCATCCATTGACGATTTCTGCCTAAAACCACTTTTACTAAATGTGATATTTGTCAGGTGTTGATTGCTTTAAATGATGATGCTATATATAATTATAATCTATGTTGTTGTTGTTGTTATGTGCCGTCGAGTCGTTTCCGACTCATAGCGACCCTATGCACAACAGCCCTAAACCCTGCTCTATCCTGCGCCAACCGCACCGCCTCTGACACACCCATCCCGATTACCCCAGTCACCGAATCAATCCATCTCATAGAGGGTCTTCCCCTCCTGTGCTGTCCCTCAACCCCCCCAAACATGATGTCCCTCTCCAAGGACCCGTCCCTCCTGGCAACATGTCCAAAGTATGTTAGATGAAGCCCCAGAATCCTTGCCTCCAAGGAGTAGCTTGCTTTAATCCTCTCCAGGATAAATCTGTTTGTTTTCCTGGCAGTCCAGGGTACATTCAGTACCCTTCTCCAGCACCACAGCTCAAAAGCATCCACTCTCCTTCTGTCCTCCCTAGTCATTGTCCAACTCTCTGATGCATAACAAGCGATTGCAAATACCATGGCCTGTATCAAGCGCACCTTAGTCTCCAGAGAGACACTGTTGCTCCTGAGTACTTTAGAGAGGTCCCTTACAGCAGACTTTCCCATCGCGATACGCTTTTTGATTTCCTGACTGCTGGTGCCAAGAGTGTTGACTGTGGAGCCGAGCAAACTGAAGCTGCGAACACTCTCAATCTCTTTGTCATCCATCCTGATGCTGCCAATTGGTCCAGTGGCAAGAATCTTTGTCTTCTTGACATTGAGCCTTAGTCCATACTGAAGGCTGTACTATGTATGAGATTCTAATTCAGTGTAAGGTGGGAATCCATGAGTCCACACTGACATAAAGAAACAAATAAATGAGGGGAAAGGGAAAGCCCT